TAGATACGTGTTTAAAAATCACAACAGCTATTATATATTTAATACATTTCCAATACTACCGTTGGCAATTTTGAATAAAAATGTAATAGGTAGCTGTTGAACCTTTTATCATTGACAGTTGGAAGATAAAACTCTCTTGTGTGGAACTAATGACTACAGCACATCTGGTTTGTATTTCGCTTCGAGTATTGCACTTTGCACCTTAATTTAATTACGTTTGAGTTAGTTTCACATTAAAAGTTTTATGCGATTGTACAGTGTATAATTTCACGACTTTCCATTTTAATAAAAAAATGCATTAGTATATTTTTGTGAAACCATTTCCTACTAGGATGGATTTGTTTCTAAATTATAACTAACTGCTTGTTACCCAACCATTTAGCATATTATGCAAGTGGTCGTGTAAAACTAGTATGGTGGCCCGGAGGTTAAAGTGTCCGGTTCTTAAACATGAGGGTGCAGGTTCACGCGGCTGACGGTAAAAGAAAACATCTTGAGAAAACTGAACTTATAATTACTAATTAAAGTTTGAAATCGCCAATCCGTCTAGGCTAATGAACAAGCAATGCTAAAAAAATGGCGGTGTTTGTGAAAAGCGGTCTTGTCTTCTTAAAAGTTTCCAATAATATAAAAAGTGCTCTAGATAGACGCAAGTATGAAATATATAAATACTTCAAAAATAGAGGTACAAAGTAACATCTTCATAAAAATACAAAAACAAAGGCTTGTACTTGAACTAAGTTAAGTCACCCTAATAATCGTTTTAGTAAAAAATGTTAATGACTCAATTGAATAAAAAAAGGACACAAAAATGTGAAGCACTCACAAAGAGGCTCTAATTGGCACCTAGCAGCACCACATTGCCATGTAACGCCGCCACCAATGGAAAGAGGAAATAACCATAATAGTTTCTCACCACAGCCACCAGACGGCGCGGCGGTAGTATTTGGCATGCTCAGAGTTGTCAGGAACAGACTGGAGACACCTCAGAGTAATCCGGAGCACTCTCGCAAATGGATCTCATTTGGGAGCTGCCGTTACCAGCTAATATCTGTCGCCTAAGCAATTAATTTACTAATTAGTCGATTGAGTGCGAACCAGCCGCTTGGTAATGGCATCGCTATAAGATGACATTATCTTAACTCACTTAGAGTCTGCTTCGCTTTATTAAGTCAATAAGTATATTAGGGAGACTACTGCCAGGAAAGTTGCTGCCTAACTGAATTAAACTTTAACTTGTGATAATAGTTCGGTTTTGTTTCAGACTGTTCATTTATTGAGTAAAGTTTTCAAATTTGTGATGAATGTATATTCAGAGCGGGCAGCGAGGAACTGAGCAGTGTAGTTTACTGTGTAGTCTTAATGAAAGTCCTTACCGCGCGATTTCTTCATTTCTGCTTTCATTGTGTATGTAGCGAAGAGAAGTGATTTGGATAATGAGTATTAACAATTAGATAAAATAATAAGAGCACATTAGATAAGATATTATCTAATAAATAATGTAGGATACTATGTGAATTTCTTGTATCAACAGAAATATTCTCAACATAATTCAAAACTTATTTTATAATGTAAAGCAGTGGACGGAATATTAGGCTGATGATTATGAACTTACAATGTATGTATATTGTATATAATTATAGCCAATAATTTGAGGGGACTAAAATTTTTTATGACTTCTATATATCTTACTCTTCGATAATACACAAATATTTTTTAATAAACTGATATGGACAAGCTTTTGTTTTCTCAACAAAATTAAAAACTTAATAGACACAAACGGGAAGCAATAAAAATGTGAAGAAAGCACTTACTTAGTGCATAAAATAAATCTGTTTAGAGTTTAGATCGTTAAGAACCGCGAAGGGTACTTGCGCATAATCCGAGGCACTCTTTCAAAATGGGTGTCAGTCGAGAGGAATGTAATAAAGTAACCCGTGAAAGTATAAGTACTTAAAGATTATTGCGTCAGTGCCTGCAACGCTTTGTTTTGTATCATTCCCCTGACACTCCCCTTTTTTAAAGCAGCTTCAAATCCCCCGCGAGTCTTATGGCTGTCTGTTTTAGACGCGAATGTTATTAAATGGGATAAAATTTTTCTGCAGTGTTTTTGTGGCGAAATATAACGAAGATGTTGATGGGTGTATGTTTTGTTTCAGTGTATCGAAAGCAAGTACAGGATTGATATGTAAGTAAAGTATGGTGTCTTTGGAACGTATTATAGTGAATACTATAATCTGTATAGTGTGGAATATTCGGAACAAAACAAGTACATTATAACAAAGCAGATGATCTTAGGCTATCGATTCTTGCGTGGGTAGACATTTTATTATCTTTCTAAGTCTAAAAGGCATTTTATTCTTGATCTGTAAAGGTTACGCTCTTAAATAATAAATGGGTGTAATAATAACTACAGCGACCGTCAGGAAGTACTAAATTATGCATTGCCCAATGTTTACGATGAGAAAAAGTCCAAATAAGAAAAGTATTAGCGTTAAATTTGAATTTTATGAGTGAACTTAGCCGACCCTCTGAGAGAGGACCCGAGGGCTGCCCTCCTCTCTAAATAATAAACCTGGCTAATGATACAAAAAATCTTAATGAAAAATCCCCATTGAATATTTATAGGGGAAATATTAAAGTTGGTAAGATGTAGAACACGCCGGTACAAGAGATTACGTCTCGTTACAGATACAGGCGGAGGCTTACAAATAAAACGAACCTACTAAGTTATGCTAAATGTTACCTTTGATGCTTTTTAAATGGGGTCCTGACTTAACTTGTTTAGAAATGCCATTAAATCTGTTTTAAAAATTCATCAGCTAGCTGTAAATGTTCCGGAGCAGTTGTTCTTGCTATTGATCTACGCAGTTAAAATTCAGAAACGATGGATGAAATATCGCAAGCCCAAAACTTTATTCTTTACTGAAGTATCGGCATTGCACTTCTTGTTTGGTGCATATTTCCCTTTCATCGAACTTAATAGTCCTATATATCCGTGCCATAACTCTGTATGGAGTTAATCTATTTATTAATCGAGTGACGTCACAGCTAAACAAGTTACTGCGACAGAACAAAGCCATCCATCCATTTAAGGCTAAAATGGTGATTTTTATCGTACATGGCATCACTCCAAACCATCGCTCGTTGCGCTCAACTCGTGAACGAAAAAAGCGCAAAAAGTGTAGCGCAAACTACATTTTCCGGGCCGCCGCGCACCGCGGGGACACGCGGCTCTAGTTGCATTCCGCCGAAACATACACCTATACGTAGTATCTACCGCTGCACTTGTGAACACTTATTTATTTATTTGAATTTATAAGGACATTTTCGTAAAAGCGATAAATTGATGGTAATATTTTGATATTGCCATTATGTTGTATGTAGAACAATTTTTTGGTTTAAATGTAGTTGTTTTCAATAAACTTCAGGCACTCAATGTGTCGTGTAATATATTAACTGAAGGAATAGACAAATGTAAAAAATCTGCTATTTCAACTCTTATTTGATTTGCACTTGTATTGGTTACTTTTCAGAAGAATAATGGGTAAGTATTTGAGTTGTGTAACCTTCTGTGACACAAAACATATGATATTAATAAATAGGATTCTCATAAATATCTGAAATACAAGAAGCATACATGTATTCAAGTGACAATAACGTCTATAGATTCTTTGCAGAAGACTACTGAAAGGCTTTTAGAATAAAAATAACACGCCTCAATATCACAAGCGGCGATAAAAGGTATCATAATGTAGCGTACAGGGATAAAACTGATACATTTCTTCGGTGACGTTATGAATTGTAAATGTACGAAGATATAAAAATATGGTCTATCCTTGGTCTGATGTGTAGTTAAGTTAAACTTGCACATACGATACGTTCCCTAAATGCCAACATTCCGTGTGACAAATGGCAGGGCTTGGATGGAGGCGCGTGGCCTGCATGCTGAGCCGCTAACAGTCGCGAGATTATGATGTACTGCTACCACTGAATTTATCGTCCTCTGTCTTATATTCTGAATAACATCTTCTAAAGTTGTGGAAAGATTATATTCGAGTTCTTTCTTGACGTTTTAATATGCCACAAGTTTTATAAATCTTGAAAATTTTGCGAATAGTTACTTATTGAATTTAAAAAAATATTGAGTTGGATATGTTCAACAAATTAGTATTTTATTTCGAATTGAATCTTTCCGGGGTATTCCATTAATAATTATAAACCCTTTACTCGTGATATTAAAAGAAATTACTTTTTAATTATTAGGACGTGAGAATTCATCTTCTCGTTTACGGTTAAATACATACGAAAACGGCTATAATTGGGTGAATTTTATGAAAATTAAATCAATTATGTCGCACAAAAAGCGGCCAGGTGCGGGTAGGACTCGCCTGTAAACGCGTGATTGCGTTTACTAATTATTATATTTACTTTCAACTTGCTAGCAATTCAAATTTTCAAAATAAGAGTCCCGCTGTGACTTGAAACTAGTAGAGTTTTTCTGGGTACATTCACATGAGTAAGTCGGTATTAACAAGTTATTTAGTTTATATAATGATATATAAATCATACGTTTTCGTTAGTTTTATTTTAGAGTCACACCTTATTACTTAGGAAGAGTCACTCAAATTTTAATACGATTTTCTGTGAACAATTATGGCCATCATTTTTCTTACTAAGTTAACATTGTGTTAACTTCTTGCCTCTAGTTTCTTACTTACTGATGGATAGAGAAACAGACGGACATTTTTTTGATTATTGTATAAGTTGGCAAACGAGCAGACGAATTACCTGATGGTAAGCAATCAGCGCCGCCAATGGACACCCGCAACGGAGGAGTTACGAGTGCGTTGCCGACCTTTTAGGGATTAGGGATTCGGATTTTTAGGGACTGGTGAGGGATTGGGGAAGGGGAAAGATTAGGCCTCCGGTAACCTCTCTCACCCAGCGAAACACAACAATGTGGTTGTTTCACGCCGGTTTTCTGTGAGGCCGTGGTATCACTCCGGTCGAGCCGACTCATTCGTGCCGAAGCATGGCTCTCCCACACTTTGACATGATGGATCTATAAGGGATTGATCTAAAAATTAAAAGAAAATTCATAAAACTACGTCGAATTAATGCAAACATACCCTTATTTATTTTCCTGAAGAATCTGGTAGCAAGTTGAAGTGGAATGCGTCCTGCTGCGAGGAGTATTGATTTAGTTGAGTAGTTCCACTAAGTAATACTAAGTATAAACGATTCATCAGGCTCATTAAAGTCGGTAAACCAAGTTGGGAACAAAATAAAAAGAAGTAAATCTGAAGTTTTCACATCGAGAGAAGCAATAAGTTTGTTACGGTGGCACAAGTAGATGAACTGAAGCGTTTTTGTTCTTAGAGCAATTTTTCCAATATGTTCAGATCCTTGTTTAATAACATTCAAGACAGCTGCTTACCGCCATACCTTAAGCCTCATTTAACCCAATATTTAACCCTTAGCAATATTTTTTGCATAAAACTACAGTTTTGTATGGAAATATTTTTGGAAGAACAATATGCAAAGAATGAAATGGAAATAAAAAAAACATGGTTTTGTCTCTGAGTACGGTTATACTTAATGTAGGCGTGGAAGATCCATGTTTCAGCACGATTGGTTCGGCTCAACCGAACTGATACCACGGCCTCATAGAAAACCGTCGTGAAACAACTAGCGTTTTGGCTCGCCGTGTGAGTGAGGTTACCGACCAAACCTTTCATCCTCAAATCCGTAAAACTCTACAAGGTCAGCAACGCACACATAACTCATGGGCATCGGCGATTGCTTTCCATCAGGTACCTAATCCAAAGCTCGTTTGCCATCCTATCACATAAAAAAATAGGCAAATAAAATATGCAACCTCTATCGACGTTTTCTCAATGCATCATAAAATCCCTAAAAATTAAAGTTGTCGCCTTTCTAAGCTAACTTTGCCTAGTAACGTCCCTAAAATCTGCCAAATAAAAGCGTGTAGAAACAATTTGTGTAGAAACTTACCTGACATGAACTTCGCCAAACGGCGGTAAACATGCTTAGATACACATAAACTGATGGTAAGCAATTGGCACTACATATAGACATCTACAACAAAAAACGGGTTATAGAGAGGATTTGGGAATTGAGAATAAGGGGAGGACGATGATTGGGTCACTAGTGACCTCATTCCGAAATATAACGCAAGCATTATTTCACGCCTGTTTTCTCATTCAAGTCGTCGTCAATTTTAGTGCCAGCCGGAGAATGGCTCTCCCACACTAAAAGTATATAACTTCAACCACCCGCGGGTTCCGTAGAACAAAGTGTGGTTGGTCCAGTTGAAGTTTTATCTGCAGTTTATTGGGCGCGTTCCCAACGATGCCGGTCTAATGAATAAACCACTACGTATTGGAGACAAACATTTCTTCCACAAGCAATGCACTCGATACTCGATACGTTGCAGTATATACAGCCACACCTACTACTACACACTCGGGTTTATGCATGTACTGAACTGCACTTTGAAAAAGGAAAGAAAAACTGTTGAACAAATTCAGTAAGACTAGGGGTCTGTTGAAAGTTTTAATTTATATAAAAAGTAAATGAGTTGTATTTAGTATTTTTAGGTATTGTGGTGTTTACCTGAGTGCAGTGAAGCGAAAATGTCGGTTATGATTTTTATGTATATGTATGTTCGCATGAATTTAGTTGATTTCTGACTGTTGTTGATTTCTGTGTGTTACACACAACGTTTTGTTTTCCTTTCTACGGACAGTTGATTTAGTTTTAGAAATGTAAATTACATATGCTGTACTTAAAATGGTTAATGTTACGTATGTAGCGTCTGAAAAAGTAATGCAACGCATTGACGCATTTTATAAAAAAACGGTCTTTATCCAATAACGCACCAAGCTATAATAAAAAATAAACGTTACAATGTAATTTGTTACAATAAGTAATGTAGTGAACAATTCCCCGCGCAACAGTGTCAGCTCGGAAATGGAACACATTTGCGGCATTTGTCCGGAGTGCGCGGACGCCCGGACGCCCGGACGACCGGAAAATCTACAACTTTTCCGGTCACTACGCACAATAACCGCCAGCTTTTGTACTTAACTAGTTGCACAAACTTATCTACAAACTTGTTTCACAAATGTTGTATTTTCATTATACAATACTTTTAACTTTATTTTTATGTGATAGGTCGGCAAACTAACATGCGGATTACCTGATGGTAAGCAATCATCGCCACCCATGGACATATGGCAAAGACGGCCCATTGACATTGTAGACCTTTTGGGGATTAAGGATTTGGAGATTTTGGAATTGGGGGAAGAGCAGGGCAAGTATTCGCCTTCTGAAGCCACCTCACTCCCACGGTGAAACAGAACGCTGTGGCTGTTTTGGGGCGGTTTTTTGTGAGGCCGTAGTATCACTCTAGTCGAGCCGGACCATTCGTACCGCCATGGATCTCTCTCACACTTAAATTGTAGACATTTCTATTTTATTCTTACAAATTGACTTTATTAGTACGTTTTCATTGTATTACAAGTAAAATGCTTACTTATACAGGAGCTTGATAATATTAAATTCTTATACCATCTCGAACAACAAAATAAAACATTACATTCAATAATGTATTTACATAATAAAATAATATTTAACATTACTTCGTTAAGCAAACAACTCAGTAATATCATTGTGATATTAATTTTATCCAGCTGAAATATAGTTTCATTTGAAAACAACATTGTTTTCTGTGAAGTCGTTATCCTGTGTCCCGCATAAACTAGCAAACAAAGCATAGCACGCATGCGAACTATATTAAAAGTGTGCATTTCTCGTATTCCCGTATTCTCGTATGAAGTAACAGATTGGGCACGGCCACCATTTTATTGGCTTGGAGTGATTCCAGCGCTGCGCTGTTTGCGTGCCACGATATTCACAAGTACTGAGTTACTCCCCGGACATGGACATTGGACACAACTGTGCGCCTCTCTAACAATACGTTCTACACAGAAATCCTTCGAAATAAAGCTATTCGCATTTCGTAAAACATCGTACTGCTAAATCATGAACCAATTTTCAAATATCCAATACGATTTTCTTGAAACGAAGTCTTAGTTATGTAGCTCCATTTTTAAATGAATGCCAGCAAGCTAGGTGCCAACATGTCTTTATTACGACTTATGAATACGAAAATTGGATTTGAAACAGTGCGCTAGTACGTTAACATAGCCATTACACGCCGTCAATGAAGTGGTTTAATTGAACCATAAACGTGTTCCCGTTGGTTAATTTATTACAATACTAAAATATCAAGACACGTTTATTAAACGAAGTACGTCGTGAGCGATAAACTAAATCACGGAATAAATTTCTACGATCATTTCTATTAAGTTTCCTTCATTGGAGGCTTCCATGCGGAAAATATGTTTATAAGAATGTGCCGCCTGATTGCGAACCGATCGACGCGCCTTGACGGAGGCATGTCCCTCACCCCGCGCCCCCCGCGGCCTCGTCACAACTCCAACATTAAGTTTGAAGTGATGTCCTGATGAGATGTATTCTTACCTAAATTGCTGACTTGGAATAGACACGAAGTATTGTAATGACGAAATATTTTACTCAGTATTATTACAACAGATGCAAACACAACAAGATTGTAATAAAAAACACAATTGCGAGCCGCAAATTGAATAGGTTTCAGTGTTATTTTACAATTTGTGTCGAATTGTACGTACATTTACATGACAAAGGAGGTAATTACAATTCAAGTCTCCGCGGCACTAACAACAGAACACGTAATAACTGCAGCAGCGTACAAAAGTGTCCTATAATTTCGCTAAACTTTAATATGACTGTGTAAAGTTTACAAACAATCCAAAATTAACAAGATTTAAAGTCTCAGAAACAAAATCCGGGACGTTTAACGAGTAAAAAGCATTATAAAAAGTGGTGCAAACTGGCTCCTGTACAAAGGCAACTTCTCACTGCGCGCTATGAAACTGTCACGCCTGTGGCTGTTGGAAATACTCCAAGCAGCCAGCCTCTATTTAACCGAGCCCGATCTAATTACAATCTTAAGATATCACACATAACGTCCATTGTTGACTGGACTCGCTTTATGCAGTGGATGCGGTACTCGGTTTCCTTTTTTAAAAATGTCCTTTTGCCAATTTTTTGTTATTCTGTAATGGTGAAGGATTTTAAAGGCTTTATGTTAGCTTAGTTATCTGCGCTGATTAAAAGTTGGAAACTACGTTAAGTTTGCCTATTAACTAGTTTTTATTAAATTATGCTCACGCCAGTTATTTATAACTTCGACAGGGTAAATATTATTTGTGTTCTTTAGAAGAACGTAAAAATTGAAACTGATTTCATATCAGAAATGAGGTCACAAGCAATAAGTTCCTGTCTATTTGGCTCTGATGTGGGACGGGTTACCCCCCTTTTGTCGGTTATATTTTAATCCCATTTAACCAATAAAACGAATCAAATATATGTTCCGTGCTACTATACAAAGTTTTGAAATACAAAAATATAATCATAGTGTTTTGCTATGTAAACTCCATTTGGGAATAGAAGTTTGTAATAAGCTGGCTGCATCAACACACAACCTCAGAAAGCACTTAATTTAAACAATGCTTTCTGGTAAAATATTGAAGTCGAAAACAAACACGAGTGTGATAAATATAAGTCCACTGTACTTTACAATGGATGAACAAAACAAATATAATTACTAAAGTATAACATGAACTGATGAACCTCTAATTCCATGAATCAGTATCAGAGAAAACTTTATACAAACCGAAGGGTTTGTTATTATGAATGTTATTAGAGGCCAGATAACCGTACAAATTATTGTAATTAGCTTTGATCCCATACAAAGTTGGCAAATAGAACCCATAGTTTGATAGGAACACGGCGAGCAATGGGTCTGCAGGCAAATGATTCAAACTGTTATATCTATACGGTACAAGCACCCTATTCGTACCTCGCGAGGGATTTTGAACTTTACGCTGCAGTGATAATTCGTAGTTTGGCAGTTTATCCCCTGTTTTGATATTGTATTTGGACAGGATTCTGTAGAATGTGGATGTTAGATTTTGGTTTTCGTCAGTGGGCGGATTATATTGGTACCCGGTGCTTTCTGTTGTGTAACTATCTTCAGCAGGCGATGTATCAATACGCTCCGTCACTTCGTAAGTATTTGATGTTGCAGCTGTTATAACATCGACGGTTTTCTCAGTTGACACATCGGTCTTTGAGTCAACTTCTGGTAACAGCAAAACATTGTCGACACTAGTATCAACATTTGGTTCCCATACCTTTTTAGCTTTTCTTGTATTTTCTTTTGTGTAAACTGTATGACCAAGTTTATTTGTTTTAATGTTATCAGGTTCATTTTGCATAAATATTGCTGCAGTGTCTTTGTATTCATTTTCATTTTTAGTAAATAATTTTTGTTCAATATTCAAGTCATCAAAATTATCTTGTGTTCTCTTAGAGAAGTAAACAGGATATTCAGACGTACCTCTTCTTATTTGCTCATAAATATCATTTTGTGACATCGGAATCCAGCCATCGGGATATATCGTTTGTTCAGCTGATATTTGAATGGTGATATGTATAAGCTAAAAAGAAAAAAAACGGGTTATATTTTGATCTGCATTCATGTTAATGAAGCACCATTCGTCTGTCTATATTCAAATCAATCCGTACATTTTTAAACTCAAAAACCACACATTTTCATACGGTTTTACCAATCGGTACAGTGATATTAACGGAAAGTTTTTATTGTAGCTGGATCTATGTATGGGTAAACTAAGAAACTATAAAAAAGACAGAACTGAAAGTTCAATATAACATTCATTATAATAATCACGAATTAATCATCAACTGAAATATTCAAATGACTCAACGACAAATTCCGCAGGCAAGCAAACACAAGTCACTTTAAAACAAAAGACGCCATCTGTAAAGTTTGAGACGAGCTTTCCACCAAAGAAAACACTTTGCAAACAATAAAAAGCGACTCACAGTAAGTAAGACGAAGGCCCTGTGCCTCAGCATGTCACCACTTAGGACGAGTGGTCGCAGCCAGCTCTCGAGGAACTATGACAGCTCTGCAGGATAGTGGTTGCACGCATCAGTAAAGCTAAGTTACATGTGAAAGCCACAATTTTATGGACCATTGTCTTAACTTTTGGAATGTTAGGAATAGTGCTCATGATCAATTGGAAATTTAACATTTATGAAGTGACCAGTTAACAATGTTTTAGAGTAGTATGGTAATGAAGTGAGTACAAATTGTAAAGAATTGAAATTCCTGTGATATGAAAGCTTTTGTGTATACCAAAATTCATTTTAAAAGATGACAGTTAGTGTGTACTTGGTCGAAATGTAAGATGCTATATTTTTCTTTTCTCAAACCTAAATTGAACAAGGTTATACAAACAAAGTCAAAACGTTAACTCTCAGAGCACTTTGTAAAAGAAAATATTTGTTGCAGTGTATTGTGTCTTTTCTGGAATCATATCATGGACGCAGCTTAAGCGAGTACAGCGCTGGGCGTGTACAAGCGTTTTCTCATCTTAATTGCTTCTTTGCGCCACTCAGTGGGACAAGGAATTGCTTTCAAGCGCAAGCCGCAATCGCACCTACGTTTACATTGTCTGTCTGTTTGTTTTACCTTATTAACTCTAAAGACTTTTTTACTTTCTTAACGATAAAATGGTTGACGTTGTTTTGTTTATATTTATCGCAATGTTTGAAGTTTGGCATAGTTTCGCCAAAAAGGTTTTATGTGTCGCTTTGTTTGCTGGAGGAATAAACCTAATGGTCTGTGCCTGTCGAAAGTATTATCTTTATATTTAATATAAATATATTTTCTACAACATCCTGAACGTTATCATGGTAAGAGAGTGGCTCAAGTTTTTTTGAAGAATGTCTTTGCTTTCAAATTGACAGATTCATTTTACTAAATGTAACCATAAAAGTAGTATGATACACATGAGCGTCACCTGTTTAAACATCTTCTCGTAAACTTTAATATTCCAAAAACTTCCAGCCCAATTAACTTGCAGATAAAATTCGGAACGCTCTGTAAATTTTTGTTAGCTGCGGTCGACGACAGAGGGCGTGCGGATACACAAATTTATCTAATTACCGACCGTTAAAACTCTCTTGCAGACTTCAATTATGCGTTCAACAGATCTAAGTGAAATCTCTTAATTTGAACAAATTATTAGTACCTGCTTTAAGTGAGCAACTTGGAAGATGGGGCTTTTGAAGTTGTTCGTCTTTATGTGTATTGTCAGTGCTCTAGTAACTAATGTCTGGGTAACGTTTTGCTAAATACATTAGACTTAACAAGATGTCTCAAGAATTTCACAAAACGTGACAATGTTAAGTGCTTCCACTAGACATATTTTTCAGTTTATGTTACTCGTTTCATTTACCTTTAGGTAAGCTTAACGTAAAAATGTAATAAAGGAAACATGTTCGAGGTAAGAAACTCATTAAAATTTAGTAGAGATAAATATTTGTATATTTTGTTATTATACTGTCTGAATCGTTGGTGTCGTCATTTGCTACTTATATCGCATTTATATGGTTTAATAACATTACAAGAGTAACAAAAGATAACTAAACGTACATGTATCACCTTCGCACTGCACGTAAAGCGTTAATCTCGTGCAGCATGAACATTGAGCGATAGCATCAGCTTCTAAAATTATGAATCTGATCCTTAGTAGCGCGTGTTGGGGTGATCTATGGCACTTGTAACGATATTATCTGAAGACGCGACACCTGGCAGGCCCCGTCTCATAACACTCGTCATCCAGGCCACCTCCGTGCCACGTCATTATCATTAATCTCCCCCGACTAAGATTGATGACGTAAATATATTCACTTTTCATATTTTTCTCGTTAACTCAGATCAAATTTTGATTTGTTTGCGGTTTAACGTTGATCCTGTTTTTCTATGACTTTAGGTATAGGTGATGGCTGGATTTATTTTTGAGTTGATGTAGTGGTTATCTAACTTCACAATTTTTTTGCACGACTTGCTAAATTCTTTGACGACTAGTTAGCCAATTTATTTGTTATTTCAAAGAAATATAAGGATAAAGATGCATGCCAGTATGTTGATTCGGTTGTACTGGGCAGTACTAAAATATTGCAAGTGATTACTCAAATTCTAAGAACGAATGAATATTCAATTGTGGCATTAAACATTTCATGTTTTTTCAATTACTGTAGTGGTATATATATAACCTAAATTCTTATGTACCTATGTGTTTATGCATTTATATGCGTATGTGACCGCCGTGTTTGAGACGAGTTTCAGTTTTGAAACAATATGGCAATCCAATCCTAATCCACCCTCTTAGCTTCTTCATCCCCAATCTCCAAAATGCCACCTCTCAATCCCTAACAACCCACAAAGAGCCGGCAAGGCACTTGTGAGTCCTTTGGGGTTACAGGTGTCCACGGGTGGCGCTGATTGCTTGCCATCAGAAGGCCGGCTTATTTTGTTTGCAGACCTATTCAAAAACAAACGTGACACAACTAGACAATGGTACGTTCATCCCGGCTAACTTATTAAAGGTTGACTGACAGACAAAATAAAAACTCGGTTTGAAAGATTTTCTATAAAAGGTCTTCATACATTATTTTTATTTCTTAATCTTTAGTTAAATCTATAATAGCATTCTTATTTTTGGCATCGATAATTTCCAAACAGTGAAACTTCCTTCGAAGCTTTGGAGTTTTACCACCAACTTCATTATCAAGTGACATTATTGACATTGTATCGGTCAAAGGTTTCTCAGAAGAGCTGCTTACCGAATTGCAGCTTTGAGTTCTGGAAATAGAAGATAAGTATTTTTACATGTATCATCTATATAGGTATATGAAAATGAATCCCTAAATGTTTTGGTAAGTTGGCTCAACAACGCCTAAACAGGAGAAGGTTCTTACCTAAAAAAGTTAAGAGAAGAGGGGAAAATTGGGAAAATGACCCTTTCGTTGTGAGCGAGATCGTTGTACCCGGGCGAAACGCGGGCGGACGGCTAGTATAAGGATAAAAATAGATTCCGTAAGTTCTGTGGTCTTAAGTTAATAATATATTTCATAATTTATACTTGATAATAAACATGACACCCTGAATACCTAATTAATAATAAAAATTAACAGGTGACACATGCTATAACAAAGGAGGTAGCTAATTAATGTAAGTACTTTATTTTTTTTTGTAAATAATCCAAATTTTAATTTAAATAAATCTTTCTTATCTTAGTTATTTATACATATACCTTCCAACACTCTCATCTATTAATTTGGCGAGTTCTTTCATTGTCGACCTCCGCATAGACATGTTTCTCTTCGTGCAGTCTGTTTAAGACTAAAGTTACAATGACAAACGTATTTTATTTATACTATTGCACTGAACATAATGATAGCGCGATTTAAAAAAAGCGACGTGACGCTTCAGTGGCGCCTTACGGAAATATTACGAACTGTTTAAGTTAACATTTGAAAAGAACGCCATCTATAAAAGCAATGTCCAACTAACTAAGCAAACGAAACATTGACTACGCGGTACGTTCATTGTGTTGAGACATGTAATAGTTAACAAAAATTTCAATAGATGGCGCTGTAGTGTTTAGTGACCACTATGAGTACCTACAATATTTGAATTATTAAATTGTTCCTTAATTACATTGTCTAATGTCTATTTCAGGCTGTTTTAATTTACTTGCAACCAAATAGAAACTACAGTTCTGACAATATTAATTGCAAGTCATCTTTTTGCAAGAAAAAAAAGTTATGATATTTTGTAAGTAGATTATCGACATTATGTTTGTTTACTATTCAAATGAAGCCTAGGCGAACTACAAATGGGTACTTACACTACTTTTACATATATGTTCAAAAAGATAAATCACTAATTAGATGTATAGAAAACAATTAAGTGTAAGTGCTTATCACTTAAGCTATTCATTAACTTTTTACATCATACTTAATTAATGAAACGGAAGGCGAAACATCTCACATTTTAGAAACTTCAAATTTCCATATTGGAGAAGCGTAAGCAAAAGTTATATCTATTCAGTAACAATGTGAGAAAGTGATTTTATGTGAATTCTTAATGGCCGGATTATTATAAATACCAGCTTTGAATATCTGCCGGACGCGGACGTTTATTGACGTACGTGAAACTAGTATCATTTGGATGTGGTATTTTTGATCTGTCCAATAGTGAATCTTTACTATGTTGTATTCTAAGCATCATATTAACCTCATAGTAGTAGTAGTAGTCATATTTACCTATCAGGAATTCACTCCTTTTAATTCTAACATTTTGATTTCTTATAAACAGAGAAATACCTACTGTCATTAGAACATTTCTGATAGTGATCATAACACTTTAACAAAACTCAGGAAATTGCACAAAAACATTTTAAATAATTTCGTAGCACGACCTTTCCAAATAAAATTGCCACATCCATTCAGAAAGTAATTCTAATCTCGTGGCTAGTGAAAGTAAAAACTGTGGAACATGTGCAAATGAGGTGTCGGCCTGCGCCTGCGCCGGCCGCGGTCACTGCTATCTGACCAATGACCGCACGGTACAGTTCATACGTAATCCGGTAACGAAGAGATGTTACAGATATTATATGACAGATATTTTGGATCTGGATACGATTAAATAATAAATAGATACGAAATATGTAGATTATGTGCAGAGGAATAATTTTGAATCGTTTTATCGTCATTATCTTTTATTATTAGCTAATTCGGCTCGATGCAGTATGAGAGAGTACTCACAGTACCTACTCTTTACATTTTTTAATTGGTTTACTTGATAGTAAACGAGGATTGTTGATATAAGTTGAAAGAGGGATAAGCATTGGGATTCCGGCAACTTCAACGACATGGTAAATTACATAGGCAGTAAAATCCTTGTTTGACGGTAAACAAGGTAAACGGCAGACGGCAGTTCAGCTACTTTGCGGATATCGGCATTCCTCTTAAATATAAATGATTAAGGTATGGTTATGAAG